GAAAGTCTCTCTTAAAAAAAAAAAAATAATAATAATAAAGAAAATAACCTGATTAAAAACTGGGCAGGGCAAACTGGTGGCATGATGGTCCCCATGGCTGGCTGCACGGTTAGAACCTTGGACCCGGCAGCTCGAGGAAAACACCAGCAACATGTGTGTGCGTGCTCAAAATCCCGAAAGGATGACATGGAGGAGGATGGCATGACCGTGCCTCAAGTGGGATGCTTTCTCCTCTCTGTCACACTCTAGTGAGGAGAGCACGTATGCTCTAGCAAAAAAGGTGAAGACTTGAATGGGCATTTCTCAACACGGTACGTGTACACGGCCAAACGTTATTTTTAAAATGCCATCACTAACCATTCGGGAAACACGAGTTAAAACCACAGTGAGAATCACCTCACACTTGTTAGGAGGGCCGTCATTAAAAAGGCAAAACATAACAAAGATTGTTGAAGATGTAGAGAAAAGGAAACCCTGGCACCACCTAGTGGGAAGGTAAATTAGAACAGCCATTGGGGCCTGCAGGTGGCATGGTGGTTAAGGGTGCTAGACTTCCACATGGCCAACCGTAGTTCAAGTCCTGGACCTGGTTCTTTTTAAAGAATTATTTATTTTATTATTATTATTATTTCTTTAATTTGACCAGAGAGAGACAGAGAAAAACAGAGAAAGTGAGAAAGCACATCAGCAGGTCCAGGACTCGAACCACGAGTCATGCGGGAGTCCATGCCACCTGCTGGCCCCTAGTTAGCTGATTTTCAATGAAGATGCCAAGAACACACAGCGGAGAAATGGCTGTCTTGTCAAAACATGGTGCTGAGAAAACTGGATGTCCACATGCAGAAGAACGAAATTAAACCCTCAACCCACACCACCTACAAAACCAACTCAAAATAAACACTTAAATGTGAGTCCTAACACCAGAAAACATGAAGGAAACAGAGGGAAAAGCTCTCACGACAGTGGTGTGCGCAACGATGTGTTTGGGTCACAAAGCCAAAATAAACAGCTGGGACAATGTCACACTAAAAAGCCGTACAGCCAAGGAAGCAGTCGCTGGAGCGGAGTCCATGAAACGGACTACACCAATATTTGCAAACCATACGTCTCATAAGGGGTTAACAGCCAAATATATAAAGAACTCAAACACTGCAATGGCAAGAAAATAAATAACCCTATGGGACCAGCAGATGGCATAATGGTTATGTCGCTGGACTCTCACGGAGTCAACTGCAGTTTGAGTCTCACATCCGGCGGCCTAGAACTCATGCCAGGTGCATGTACGTGTGTGCCCAAAATCCCGAGGAGAATGGAGAAGGGTTAGGCGTGGCCATCCCCCTGGGACATGATTTTTCACTTTCTGTCTCTCTGGAGCGTGCACACACCCTATAGCGAAAGTCTCTCTTAAAAAAAAAAAATAATAATAATAAAGAAAATAACCTGATTAAAAACTGGGCAGGGCAAACTGGTGGCATGATGGTCCCCATGGCTGGCTGCACGGTTAGAACCTTGGACCCGGCAGCTCGAGGAAAACACCAGCAACATGTGTGTGCGTGCTCAAAATCCCGAAAGGATGACATGGAGGAGGATGGCATGACCGTGCCTCAAGTGGGATGCTTTCTCCTCTCTGTCACACTCTAGTGAGGAGAGCACGTATGCTCTAGCAAAAAAGGTGAAGACTTGAATGGGCATTTCTCAACACGGTACGTGTACACGGCCAAACGTTATTTTTAAAATGCCATCACTAACCATTCGGGAAACACGAGTTAAAACCACAGTGAGAATCACCTCACACTTGTTAGGAGGGCCGTCATTAAAAAGGCAAAACATAACAAAGATTGTTGAAGATGTAGAGAAAAGGAAACCCTGGCACCACCTAGTGGGAAGGTAAATTAGAACAGCCATTGGGGCCTGCAGGTGGCATGGTGGTTAAGGGTGCTAGACTTCCACATGGCCAACCGTAGTTCAAGTCCTGGACCTGGTGGCTTGCTTTTCTCGCTTTCTCTCTCTCTCTCTCTCTCTCTGGTCAAGGTGAAATAAATAAAATTTTAAAAAATTATTTGATTAAAAACAAAAGAACAGCCATGAAGGAACAGTACAGAGGGTCTTCAAACAATTTAAAATAGAACTACCAGGGCCAGCAGGTAGCAAGTGACTTGGTGGTTAAGGTAACCCTAACTCCCACATGGCTGACCACAGTTTGAGTCCTGGACCTGGTGCCTTGAAAATCGTGGTGGATGTGTGTGTGTGCATGTGTGTGCGTGTGCCCAAAATCCCAGGAGAAGGGATTGTGAGTTTGAGTCCTGGACCTGGTGCCTTGAAAATCGTGGTGGATGTGTGTGTGTGCATGTGTGTGCGTGTGCCCAAAATCCCAGGAGAAGGGATTGTGAGTGGCCATCCCCTCCGGGGGTGAGGGGGGGGGTTGATTTCTCACTTTCCCTCTCACTGTCTCTCTGTCTGTCTCTGGTGAACCCATGCTCCCTATGGGAAAAACCTAAGAAGAAAACAAAAAAATAAAGAGGTGCCCTATGACCCAGCAACCTCAACTGGAATGTCCCTGCTGTCGCCTTAGCAAATTAAGACAGCACCTGCATTTTCATTTCATTACTAAACTCGCACAACACGGTATATGCCAGGTACTATTCTAAGCGCTCTACAAACATGGAGACATCTAAACACCTTTCGGCCGGGGCCGGGGTCACTGAAACAACATTTCAGAGCTGGGGACTCAGACCCGATGCCACGGTTCAGCCTCCATCCTGGGGGAGGCGGGACACCTTGGAGGGACACATGTCTCTCCGCACATGGGCATCAGGCTTGGCAATAATGACGCATAGTAATAACCACACAGCGAAGTCTCGGCTGCATTCACTGGGCATAGGCGCCTTGCCAAGGTGCCATGCCAAGGCGGTCGGAGTTCTCTCATGTCACCCCCAGCAGCCTGCTGAGGGAGGTGCTATTTCGTCCCCTTGGTTAAAGAGGAGGAAACAGGATCCAAAAGGGGTACACTGGCTGCTCAGCAGGCCAGGAGGACCTGGCCTCACCCTGCCCACCGCCTGGACAAGTGGCCTGGGGTCGCTGCAGGGAGAGGGGAGGGAGGCAGAGAAGACATGATTATGTCACTCTACTCCCACATGGTCAACTGCGGTTCGAGTCCCAGACCCAAAGCTTAAAACTCACTCCGGGCACGTGTGTGTGTCCAAGATCCTAGAAGGAGACGGGATTGCAGCGTGGCCATCCCTCCTGGGGGATGATGCCTTGCTTTCTGTCTCTGTCTCTCTGGTGAGCACATGTGCCCTATAGCACAAAAATCTCTCCCTAAAAAAAACCAAAAAACTCACGGGATGCATGTGCGCGGATGCATAAAACCCCGGAGAGGAGGGAATGGAGGAGAAGGGATTGCAGCGTGGCCTCTGGAGGGTGATTTCATGCTTTCTATCGCTCTCCTGACGACTGCACGTGCTCTATACCAAGCAAAAAACAAACAAAGAAAACTCTCTAAAAAGAAAAAAAGGAAAAAAGAAGGCAAGGCAAGGAAAGGAGGGGAAGCAGCAGGTAGACCCTAAGTCCCTTCGCAGTTCCGGGCTCCGCCCACACGTTGGGATGTGGAACTTCCAACAGCCCCAAGACTGACACCTTCGCACTTTCTCTCTCGTTTTATGGACGATTGGCCAAGGCTCGAGTAAGCGGTGGAACTGGAGCAGCTGACCTGGGAGGCTCGGGTCCCGCGTCCACTGGCCCCTCTGCGGGGGCGGGGTGCAGCCTCTGCACCCTAGGCCGGGGACGTGGCGGCTTCCCTGCCCGATGCCCCAGCGGCCATCACACCCCGGCTCAGCAAGGGCCGGCCGAGTTAGCGACATAACGCAGCTCTGCTCAAGTACAAGCCACGGAGGGACGTCCGAGCTTCCCGAGGGGGTCCACGGAGACAGGCCTGTGGTCAGGGAAGCTTGGAAGAGCTACCTGCTAGCCCTCCCTGCCTCAGAGACCCCGCAGCAGGCTCTAAAGGTTCTCAGAAATTCTGCAGTGAAGATAACCTTTGTTCATTTAGGATAAGGGCTCCCCCATTTACCTGAACCACAGAACTGTGTCGCTGCATGTCAGCTAATGTGCAGGGAACCACTCCTCTTTTTAAAAGAGAGATTTTTGCTATAGAGTACCTGTGCTTGCCAGAGAGACAGAAAGGAGAAATCACCCCCTGGTCACGCCGCAATCCCTTCTCCTCCATTGCCCTCTCGGGATCTTGGGCATGCACGCACACATGCCCGGCATGAGTTTTAAGCTATCGGGCTTGGGACTTGAACTGTGGTCGACTAGTTGGGAGTCCAGTAACGTAACCATGACGCCACCTGCTGGTCCCAGGAGCCACTCTTTTATAGATACTGCAATGTCGGAAGGAACCAAAAGCCAGAGAGCAGACTGCCAGCTACTTTTGGATACGAACCAAAATGTAGAGTCTTTTTTCCCCCCTTAAGACTTATTGACCAGCCTGTGGCCTGGTGGTTAAAGGCCGTTGGATCCCACAAGACCCACAGCAGGGTTTGAGTCCCGGCCCAGGTGAGTGTGTGTGCGTGGCCGAGATTCCCAAGGGCGGGGAAACGAGAAGGCCCACGGCTGGCTGTGACCCTCCCCACGGGATGCTTTCTCCTCCCCACTTTCTCCGGCTCTCTCCAAGAGAGTGGGTGCACCCTCTGGAAAAATGTTTCCTTTACATAATCAAGCTCTGTCATTGATATTTGTTTTCTACGACGGGGTGGAAGTGAGCAGCAATAAATCAGGCAGGGGACGGGCTGTCAACCCCCAAACCTCTTGGCTCACCTGCTCTGTCCCGCCTGAACCCCGGTACCACCCACTTCTCTGAGTTTCTACCCGCCCTCCCTTCCAGGGGCTGCAGGTGCCCACACTGGCAGCACCACCGCCCTTGCCCACCCCTTAGGTGCCGACTCCCGCCCGCCAGCCCCCTTGCTCCCCGCAGAGCCCGGCTCCCCCAGGCCTCTCCTTACCCACTCGGAAGATGAGATCGTCCTCGATGGGGTTCTCTTTTCGCTTGCCGGTGCTGTACATGCTGGCGGGCCTCTTCACCGCCTTCTGCTTGACGTGGCCGCTCCCCGGGGACTTCACGCGCCTCTTCACGCCCTCGGTGGTGGGAGACACGTCCGCCGACCGGATGACCTTGAGCTTGAACGGGCTGCCGCGGATGTGCTGGTCGTAGAGTCGGAGCGACAGGGTGAAGTCGCCCTCCTTCTGGACGGTGTAGAGGAACTCGTAGGTGCCGTTCTTGTTGTCCAGGATCTCGCCGTCGGCCACGCTGCCGTCGGGCGTGCTCAGCTCGGCCGTGATGTAGGCGTTGCCCGTCTTGCACAGCTCCCCGTCCTTGTCCTTGGTGGTGATGGTGACGGACATGGGCTGCCCGATGATGGTCTGCCGCAGCCCCTCGCCCGTGGCCACCGTCTCCGAGGCCACGGCGTTGGTGGTCAGGATGGTGCCCAGGTTGTGGATGGACTTCTTGAGCCCCTCGGTTTCCACGATGAAGTCCAGCTGGTCGTTCTCGCGGGGGTGCAGGGGGAAGTCCTGGCCGGCCAGCTCGCTCAGCTTCTCGCTCATCTGCTTCTTCACCAGCAGCACCTCGGTCTCCGTGCCATGGTTCAGGGCCTGCGCCGTGAAGCTGCTGCAGCTTTTAATGCTCTCCTGGCCCTGCAGCAGGGTGTCCAGCTGCGACTGCAGCACCTGCGGGGAAAGCGGGGTGAGCGCTTCCGGGCCGGTAACTGGGTCTGCACCTGCCGCAGAGGCGTGGCCGGGTGGGGAGGGGGTCCACCAGGAGCAGGTTCTAATGGAAAACCCAGCACCGCCAGCCCCACCCAGGTTCCCCACACCCACACTGGCGTCGCCGTCTGCGGTAGAGGCCGACAGAGCGAGCTGCAGCTGGCCTGGGAAATAAGTAGTCACTGACAGAGGTGTTCCCTAGGGCCCAAAGCTCCCTGTCACCAGCCACCAGCTAAAAGGACAGAAACCAAACACATGAGAACGCTCCACCCCTGAGACTCTGGGCAGCTTGTCCTCCCGGCTCTGCAAGCGGACTGGCAGAGGCAACCAGGGCTGCCCTCGGGTTCGGCTTGGAAGTTGAGGAACAGGTCGGGGTGGGTGAGGGCCATGAGGAGCCTGTTGTGCATTGTAATTAGGGAAGAAAAACAACCCGGTGTACCTCCAAATCCTGAGAGCACTGCATTGTACTCGGCCTCGCCTTCTTCTTTTTAAGCATTGTTTTATTTAACTATATTTATTTATATATTTATAATTTGACCAGAGAGAGACAGAGTGAAAGAGAGAGAGGGAAAGCGAGAAAGCAACCCACCAGGTCTGGGACGTGAACCATGGTTGGCCATATGGGAGTCCAGTGCCCTTAACCACCATGCCACCGCCTCCTCACCTGTCAAAATTATAAGCCCAGACTTCGAGGTCACAGAATCAGAGCAGATATTTGCTGAAAACAGGAAAGGACCAAAAAAATCGCTGAATGTATTTAAGGACCCGCTGGTCCGGTTAGCTGCTCTTAGAGTGGGAGCACATCCTGCGAATAAACCGGGCGCACCCATGCCCTGATCCAGGGCTGGCTGAAGTGGGAAAGGGAGGTCAGGGAGTCACCTGCTGGGGCGACCAGCTGCTGGGGAGCTGCCTCTCAGTCACTGTGGAGAGGGCCTGAGCAAACATGTAACCTTGCTCAGGTTAACAGAGGGCACCGGGCCCAGCAGATGACAGTGACGTCTCGGGCTCCCATGTGCTTGACTGTGGTTGAGTCCTGGAGTCGGCAACTTGAAACTCTCTCTCTCTCTGTCTGTCTGGCGAGCACACACACCCTACAGCAAAAACCTCTCCAAAAAGAGAGAGCGAGAGAAAAAAAAATAGGCACCAGCAGGGGGTGTGGTAGTTAAAGCACTGGACTCCCACATGGCTGACACGGTTCGAGTCCCGCCCGGACCTGGGGGCTTGCTTTCCCACTTTCCTCTCTTCCTCTTCCTGTCTGTCTCTGGTGAGCATGTGTGCCCTGTAGCAAATTGGGAAAAATACTACTACTAATAATAAACATACAATTAAATAAATAATTATTTTTAAAAAAATATAGAGGGCCCAGAATGAGCCTTACTCAAGAAAATAAGTAAGGACTTTTTTTTTTTTTTTTTTTTTTGAGGGGGAGAGGTTTTTGCTATAGGGCATGTGCGCTCACCAGAAAGACAGAGAGAGACAGAGACAGAAAGTGAGAAATCCCCCCCAGGGGGTATGGCCATGCCACAATCCCTTCTCCTCCATTCTCCTCTCGGGATCTTGGGCACGCACGCACACACGCCCGGCGTGAGTTTAAGCCACTGGGTCCGGGACTTGAACCGCGGTCAACTACATGGGAGACCAGCGACATAGCCATTACGCTAACTGCTGGTCCCAGAAAACACTATTTTCTAACTCAGGACTACAGAAGGGGCCCAGGATAAACCCCAAGAAGAGCATTTACAACACGAGAAACAAATGCCACCCCAGAGAAAAGATTACTTGGGTCCCCTTGGTGCCACCTCTAGCCATCATCTATTGTTGATAACACCCCAAATTCCTGAGAAACTACCCCCATCTCAACCAAGCTTAGAGAAGTGTCGTTACCCTCCCGGCTACGACCAGAACTTTAAAGAGGGGCCAGCAGATAGTGTGATGGGATTGGATCACACATGGCCGACTCTACGATTCTTATTTTTTTTTTAACATTCTTTTTAAAAAATTGTTTTATTTGGGACCAACAGTTAACATAATGGTTATGTCACTGAACTCCCATGTAGTCGACCATGGTTTGAGTCCCAGACCCAGTGGCTTAAACTCATGCTGGGCGCGTGTGCGTGTGTGCCCAAGATTCCGAGAGAATGGAGGGGAAGGGATTACGGCATGACCATCCCCCCTGGGGGGGGGCGATTTCTCGCTTTCTGTCTCTATGTCTCTCTCTGTCTCTCTGGCGAGTGCACGCGCCCAGTAGATAATACCTCTCCAAAAAAAAGAAAAAGAAAAGAAAAAACACAAAAAAATTGTTTTATTTAACATTATTATTTTAAAAAAAGAATTATTTAATTTTATCTCTTTTTCTTAATTTGCTACAGGGGATGTGCAATAACCAGAGAAAGTGAGACAGCAAGTCACCAGGTCTGGGACTCAAACTGTGGTCAGCCATGTGGGAATTCAGCATCTTAACCACCATGCCACCTGCCAGCTCCGATGGTTCTTAAAAGTCATGCTGGGGGGACCAGCAGCTAGCATAATGGCTATGTCGCTGGACTCCCACGTAGTTGACCGCTGTTCACGTCCCGGACCCGGTGGCTTAAAACTCACCCCGGGTGCGTGTGCGTGCTTGCCCAAGATCCCGAGAGGAGAATGAAGGAGAAGGGATTGTGGCGTGGACATCCCCCCTGGGGGGGTGATTTCTCGCTTTCTGTCTCTCTGTCTTTCCCGTGAGCACACATGCCCTATAGCTAAAACCTCTCCAAAAAAAGAAAAGACAAGAAAAGAACTTTAAAAAGAGATCCTCTCTGCTACGAGGAGTGAACCTGTTCAAGTCTCAGTCTGAATACTCTCGTTCAGTACGCTTACTCAGTACTCTTGCTCGAACCCTAATAAACTGAGATTCTGGTAAGTTCTTTTGTGGCCTGTGCACTGGCCCCATGGCCCGACTGCACCTTACGGCAGTCACAGAAGAAATAAATAAAAAAACCTTACGGGGCAGCAGGTGGTGCTGTCCCACAGGCCAACTATGCAATTCAAGGCCGACTGAGGGCTTGAAAATCACACCAGGCACTTGCGTGTGCGTGCCCAAAATCTGGAGAGGAGAATGGAGAAGGGATTTCGGTGTGGCCATCCTCCCTGGGGGCGAACTCTCACTTTCCCTCTCTCTCGCTCTCTCCTGAATGCATGCCCTATAGCAATAAATAAATAAATAAATAAAATAAACTTCAGAAAGAGGCCGGCTAAGCCGGTGGGGGGCAGAGCGCTGGAGCCCTGCTGGGCGGGGACTGCGCGGCCTACCTTGTGTTTGAGGCCGTAGTTGACCTCCAGCTCCATGAGCAGCACGCTCTTACGCACGTTCAGCGTCTTCTGCAGCTCATCGAAGGTGGCGTGGATGTCGTCCACGATGCTGGCCTTCTGGGCCGTCAGCTGGTGGATGATCTCGGAGATGAACTGCAGAGCGGAGTCTATTTCCGGGAGCCTGGGGGCAGTGACAGATCAGCAGCAGCAACCGGAGACAGTCCCCCATCCACCCCAATGCCACACTTTGTGAAAAATGTTCTCTGTGCCTTTCATCATCTTTAAAAAGGAAGAGCCAAAGAAGAGACCGGGAAAGAGGACGTAGGGATGCCCTTGGGAGGAGACGGGGTCCAGGTCTGTTTCGGTCTCCCTTCCATCAGCCCCTGTTAATAGCTGACCCGACAGGGGTGCCGCAGCCTTGGAAAACCATCATAGCCAGACTGCTTGTTCTCCATCGCAGGGACTGCCCTGTCCTCTTCCATGCATGGCCGTGACACCAAAATGTCTCAAGATGGCCAAAGGTCCCTGGGGGACACAGTCACCCCAGCTGAGAGTCACTGTTCTAAATACGTAACTTCATCTCTTTTCCCAACCACATAAAAATCTGACCCACACTCGGAGTTCCCTGGGAATGTCTCCTGACGGTGAATGAGTACAGAATGACCACCTTTGTCATCCCAGGATGGTTGGTGACTAGATTTATTCAGTCTGCCTTTCGGTGGTGCACTCACGCCCCACTCAGCTACTCCGATTCTTCATCTCCACGCCAAAGAAAGCCAGGAAGCAAGCAAGAAAGGAGAAAACCGAGCACTCACGGCTGCTCGAGGCCACACTGCAGGCTCGGAGAGAAGCCGTGACTACCCACACGCTGGGCCTGGACACGTGTCCAAACCCACAGCTCAGACAAGTCTCCTAAGGGCCTGCTTTCAGGCAGGAACTCCAGAAATCGGAGAACATTCTGGAAGTACTTTCACTCATTTGATCACACTGAAGTACTGAGACAGAAATGCCCCCGCTGCTCAGGGCAGGCCAGATTTTATCAAGGGGCAGGGGCCACTTCCTCACGCTAGTGGACGACTAGGCCCATGGCCGGGGGGACCAAGCCACAGGGTAATGGAAGCCGGTGCTGCGCTGGGCAAGACCCTGAGGCCAGGCCCCAGGACGGATGCCACCCGAGGCGGGGAGGGGACGCACCTTTTGTTGACGGCGTCCAGCTGGACCTGGAGAGAGGCCTTGTGCTGCTCCACCACGTCCCTGAGCGGGACCGTGGGGTGCTCCGCGTGCTCCCCCTCAGTGCACTCACGACACATGGCGGTCTCGCAGGACTGGCAGTAAAACTCCATCACCTGCAGGTGACACGGGGACAGCTCCTGGGTGACACTCACTCTACGAGGCGCCTCCTCGTGCCGCTCATCTCATTCTTACAACCACACCAGAAGTTGAAGCAAAGGAATGATTTTATTTATGGTAGAGTGCATGCGAGTGCGAGAGAGAGGGAGAGAGGGAGAGAGGGGGAGAGGGGGAGAGGGAGAGACGCCCCTGCCTCAGGCCGGGGTCCTGCCGCAATCCCCTTCCTCCAGTTCTCAGCCGTAGGATCTTGGGCACTTGGGCGTGTCTGGGGAGCAGACATGTCTGTCTGACCAGACCAGGGCTTCGAACTAGGGTAACCATCATGGTCACCCCTGACCAGTGAGCCACTGAGCCGGCCTCGGTAAGGATATAGTTTTAGGGGCCAGGAGGTGGCGTAGTGGTTAAGGCACTGGACTCCCACGTGGTTGAATGTGGCTCGAGGCCCAGACCTGGTGGCTTGACACTCATGCTGAGTGCAGAGAGGAGAGGACGGAGCAGAAGGGATTGTGGTGTGGCCATCCCCCCTGGGGAGTGATTCTCACTGTGTCTCTCTGTCTCTCCAGTGAGCACACACGCTCTATAGCAAAAATCTCTCTCAAAGAAATCTTTTTATGTGGCAGTTCTCAACCACGGGTGGTTCGAACTCCAAAGTTGCTGAACTAGCCAGAACAAGAGTTTTCATGGGGCCAGGAGGTGGCAGGTTGGTTAAGGCACTGGACTCCCACATAGCTGACTGCCGTTTGAGTCCTGGATTCTGGTTGGGTTTAAAACATTTTAAATTAAAAAATAATAATAAATAAAATTAAATAAGTATTCTTTTTTTTAAAAAAGTTTTTATGGAGGACCTATGGGTGGCATGGTGGTTAAGGTGCCGGACACTCCTACATGGCCGACCATGGTTCAAGTCCCAAACCTGGTGACTTGCTTTCTCACTTTCCCTCT